GCGGCCCCCTCCCTGCCTGTGCTCGCGCAGAGGGGCCCCCTCTGGGTCTGCCGGCCACCACCTGGCCGCCAGCGATTGTGGAAGGGGAGCGGCTCTTACCCTACCTTGCCTACGAGCCCCTGTGGAGCCCGGGTTCCTCCGAAGAGGAAATGAACCCCGGGGAACCCCCTGGGTCTGCCCCCCAGGTCTGTAGCACAGGCTCAGCTGCCATCCCAGGGTGCGGGTCTCTTCAGGGGAGCTGGTTTGAGCGCCCTGATCTGCCCCAATCCGGCAGACCCCAACATGCCATGCCTGGGTCTCCTGCAGGGGCATGCAGTGGCTAAGGCTGGCCTCCCTGCCCCGGTGATGCCACCTCTATGGGGAACCCCCTGGGTCTGCCCCCCAGGTCTGTAGCACAGGCTCAGCTGCCATCCCAGGGTGCGGGTCTCTTCAGGGGAGCTGGTTTGAGCGCCCTGATCTGCCCCAATCCGGCAGACCCCAACATGCCATGCCTGGGTCTCCTGCAGGGGCATGCAGTGGCTAAGGCTGGCCTCCCTGCCCCGGTGATGCCACCTCTATGCTGCTGGGCTCCTGGTGTTAGGGTGCTCGTGGATCGACTGAACCCTCTGTAACTCCCGGCAGCCCCCGAGGCTCAGAGAGAGCCACCGGCGAGGAGTGACAGTGCCTCACACGGCAGGGTCCCCACGACTAGCTAGCTGCTGTTAGATGCACTGTTCCGGTCACACCTGGGCAGCAGGGGAGCCAGGGATGCTGCTGGCACTTCGCAGTGCCCCAAGCCGGGTGGGCAGAGCCTCAGCCTCTCTGCTTCCCCGCTTAGGGCTGGCAGCCCTGTGTGCCAGGCTAGTCAACCCCGCAGGTCTGCTGGCCCGCCTGCCCTTCCTGTGCTGCCGCCCCAGGGTTCCTGCTGGCCGACTCTCCACTGGCTGCACCTGAGCCCCCTCGCCCGCTGCTCAGTGCCGTCCGGGCCTGGCAGCTGGCCAGGGCCTGGGAACATGCCTGCCTGGCCCCCGGCAGCGCCGAGGCCCGCACCCACTTGTACTCACTGTTGATGATGGCCGTGGCCAGGACGGAGGCCATGCCGGCCTGCTGGGGCAGCAGGTGGATGTCCGCGGTGGCCATGGGGGCCAGGCACGGGGCCTCCGCTGGTTCCTCCTTCACAGGGTGGCTGGCGGCACCGTGGGGCTCGGCTGTGAGCAGCACACACAGGAGTCCGCCGGCTGGCACTGGCTTGGTGACCCTGCACCAGAGGGCCTCATCTGCAGGGTACAGCAGCTGTGATGCCCCGCCCCGAGCCCTAACCATTCTCACGTGCCTTGCGGTCAGGGCCAGGGTGGGGGTCGGGGCTGCAGCTAGGCTTATGTGATGACTGGCCGGTCTCTGAGGTGTGCTGTCCTGGCCCCAGGGGTGAGGCTGGATGGCCCTGCTTGGGGTGCTCACAGCCTCCCTGCCCTGCACTCATCCTGGTGGGAGGCCCTAAGGGTGGCCAGCAAGCTTCACGTTCCAAGAAAGGTGACACGGAGGAGGCGGCAGAGCCAGGGGTAGCCACTTAGTGGGGCCGGGCAGCCATTCCCGCAGTGGCCTGCAGGGGGCAGCCTCGGCCGGCAGCACCCAGGCCGCAGATCCATCTCCTTCCTGGCAACCCCCAGCAGCGTCGCCCCATACAACGGGGGTGGGGCGGGGGTGCGGAGAGACTGGCTGGGTCCCTGGGCCCCCGGTGGCCACCGGGGTGGAGGACATGTGTGGGCCTAGGCCTCGCCCCAGGTGGACCACCCTCAGCTCCAGCACTGCAATGCCTGTCTTTCCCGGCGGCCATGTGTGGCCAGCACCCTACTGACCAGGCCGGGCACAGCTTACACTGACCGCTGCTGCAGTGCACGTGGGCTCTGGGAGGCCACCTCTCCCCAGCGTCCCTGGCTACCCTTGGGGTGTCCTCAGAGCCCCTTGGTGGGAAACCAAGGTGAGACCCGGGAGCCCCCCCCCCAGTCCCACCTCTGCTACTGGGATGCACCCTGGAGGGCCTGGGCTCCTGGAAGGTGGGGGAGGGCTGAGGGAGGGGAAAGGCCAGGCAGGACACAAGCTCTCGGGAAGCCCCTGGCCCCGACCCAGCTCTCCCAGCTCAGGCCCGCTTTCCTGGCACACCAGGTCCCACCCCGAGAAGGGGAGTGCTGGACTTGGACATAGGGCTCTGACCCCTCCTGGGGCCTCCAGCCAGCCGGGCAGGGGTCCCTGCTGCTGAGTCTGAGCCGCCTGGGTGAGGAGGAGGAGCAGGGCACCCCACTGGCCTGCCTAACAGGCCTGGCTTCGTCTTGGCTTATCCATCCTGGCTCAGCGTCTGCCTCAGATCGCAGTGTGCCTGGCTCCGGTGGGCATTGATCTGGTACTGTGTAACCCCCACCCTAGCTCCAGCTTAAACAGGGTGCTTTCCCTTCTTTAAGGGCTCGGGAGCCGAGTGACCGCCACCTCTGGGGGGAGGGGGGAGGGAGGCCGCAGACACCAACCTTTCCTGCAGATCTCCAGGTTGGCTTCGGCAGCCGTCGGTGCCCGGGGCAGCGCCCACAGCCAGCAAGCCTCGTCCACCAGCTGCAGGGTCAGGGCCGGGCTCTGGGAGGGAGGCGGGGAGCACTCAGCCAACAAGGAGGAGCCTCCTCTGTGGCCGGTGGGACTGCAGCACATGCCACTGTGTCCCAGCTGGGCCAGGCCCACCATGCACTGGGGCAGGTGGCAGCAGGCAGCAGCCCCGTCCCTGCTCAGGTGCTGCATCCTCAGGTGCTGCATCCTCAGAAACAGGCCTAGGAGGTCGGGGCCACGCCAGAGGTCACGCAGCCAGAACGGAGCTGCTCTGCCCCGTGCGTCTGGGAGCTGCTGGGGGCTTGGTGCTGTTTACTCCGCGTGCAGCTGGCCCTGGCTTGCGGTCCCGCAATGACCCAAGGGGATGCCAACATCTCCCCGAGGAGACAGCCCCTCCCAGACAGACACCCTGTCCTTCCCAGTCCTCAGCGTGCCCCTCCCACTGCAGGGCCCTGGGAGTCTGGAGACCAAGTCGTATTGGCTCAGCCCCTGCTCACCGCCTTGCTGTCCCCAGGAAAGCAGGCTGCCCCCCGTGTCCCAGCAGAGGAAACAGGCCCTGGAGGGAGCACCACCTCGGTCTAAGAGCCTGGGGGGCCTCTGCGGCCTTGCTTCCTGCACCCGGCCCTGGTGTGGCCACTGAGGAGCCACACACTGTGCTGTGGCCCTGCTAGACATGGAGGGGACCATGCTGAGGTCCAGCGCAGGCTGGTCACTGCAGCCCTGGGCCCCCGTGCCCGACCCTGGCCTGGAAAGGACCGTCCCTCTAACCAGATGGCTTGTCCCATGGCCTTCTGCCACTTCGACCTTCACCACAAGACCACTACCTATGTATGCCCCTGGAGGCGCCACTGCCCGAGGGTGCGGTGTGCTGGCCGCACGCCCCCACAGGTGGGACTCAAGGTTTGGGGGCTAGCAACAGTGTGTGGGGGTGCCCAGCACCTGCATGCTCCGGGGCTTTGCTGTATGGGCTTCAGAGCTTGGTGGTGTGCTCCATCCAGGTGGCCTGACCCCCCTGTGACTGCGGCAGGACTTCCCAGGACCCCCAGGTGCCTTGAGCCCATATGGCACAGGCAGGGGTCCGGCCAGATGAGGTGGCTCCCGTGTCACCTGCCTACAGCCATGTGGCCCACTCACAGAACAGGTGACCAGAGCTAAGCTGGCCAGTGGGTTGGGCAGAGCCTGGCCTGGAAGGGGACCCTGCTGTCCTCATAGCCCACCTGTGGCCCAGTCTTGGTTTTGCACCTGCTGGGTGAGGCTGGGGCTTGCGCCTGTTCCTGATCTAGACCCATCCTCATCCTGCCCTCAGGGGCCCTCAGGTAGGGCACGACCAGCTCCGTGGCTTGGTCCCCTGGCAGGGCCCTGGGAGAGGCCATGTGCGTGAAGCCTGTCGCTGTGCCGGCACAGGTAACAACAGCTCTGACAGCCCCCCCACATGGAGTCTGCCAGGTCTGGGCCAGCCAGCAACCACCAAATGTCAGCTTCAACAACACCCAGCCACTGGACCTGCACCCGCGGGCACTCTGCCCTCCCTTGGCTCACACGGGGCCTCCGCTATGGTCACAGTGGAGCAGGCACCGTGGGCACCATGGCAGGAAGGGGCCCGGCACAGGGTCAGTGCCTGGTGGTTCCCACAGCTTGGCTGTGGCCGACCAGGGTGCGCAGCTCCTGGTGAGGCGCTGGGCCTGGCCCTCCCCATCTTGTCCTTCCCGAGCCTAATGAATATTAATGAGTGGAGGAGGGTGAAAAATTAATCTGCCTGAGTCTGCGGTGGGTGCTGCGGGAACGATATGAAATCTAATTATTCGTCCCAATATTTCTAAACCCTCAAACTGAGACTGACAGCCTCCCAGCCGGTTTAATGCTTATCACCCTCGGAAGTGGCGTGCTGCCGGCATGATAAAGACGCCGCAACTGCTGACGCCGCACACCGGCCTCTGTGGCGGGTGGCAGGCAGGGAGGCGCCGGCGCCATGTCCCCAGCCTGTGCCACCACCAGGGTTGTGGTCCTGGCATGCAAGGGCAGCAGAGCCCTGGGTGGGGCCGGGCGAGGGCGGACAGACAGAATGGCCTTCCAGGCTCCTCGTGCCCTGCCGGGGTGGGGATGGGCCTGCCGCCAGAGGCCGAGGACAGGCTGGGGGCAGGAAGCCTGCCATCCATAGCTCTCTGGGAAAGGGTACCCAGCCCCGGGCCTGGAGTGCCAGCGTGCACAGGCTGCCTGGGGCCGAGGGCGTGGGTCAGGTGGCCAGACTCTGCTCCCTGGTAGGCACGCGTGGCCCGGGCCACTCCACCTTGCTGAACAGCTCTGCATGGGTGACCCTTGTCCTGCCTACCCTGCCCTGGCAGTAAGGGCCAGCCTGGGCCTTCTTCCAAGACTGTTGGTGATTGGAGCCCTGCAGCCCCAAGGCTCGGTGCCCAGGCCCCGCTGGCCTGGACAGACACGACTGGGGTCAGCGTGGAGCCCCGGGACCCAGCTGCTGGCTGCCCTGGGGTAGCCAAGCTCCGCTCTCTCAATCTCGGGATAATGGCGGTCTCCAGGCGGGTCTGAGACCCGTCCTTGTTCCCTAACAAAGAGGTCAGTGTCTCGACCCTGATAACCATCAGGAACCCTATCTGCTGCATCCGCTGTGACGCAGCATCCGCCGTTCCCAGACCTGCCATGCACCTCCTGAAACTTGGAGGCAGGCGGCCCAGGCCAGACAGCCCCGCAGAACTGGGGGGCCCGCGAGGTCAGGGCTGAGGCTGTTGGTGGCAGTGGGGGGGGCACAGTTTGCCCCCACCTGCATCCTTCCCCAGCAGCAGCTCCCCCCAGGCGCTGCAAGGAAACCATTTCACTAGTAGGCAGACAGAGGCCCGTGGTCTCTGCAGCCTTCCCCAGCCTTTCAGCTGTCCTCACCTCTCAGGACCAATTAAGTGCATGCCCTGGGGACACGGGCAGCTGGGACTGGCCCCAGCCTCCTGGTGCATGCTAGACCAGGGGCCAGTGGGACCCCCAGGAGCAGGCTGGGCAGGAAGCAGCAGAGAACTGGCGGCCCGAGAACGGCAGGAGCCTGGCTGGGGGCAAGGAGGGCAGTGGCCAGGTCTGCTGGGCGAGGGGGGCTGGGGGCAGGGGCTGTTGAAGGGACAGGCCTGGCACAGGCAGCGGTCCTGACCACAGCCCCCCGAGTTGGAGCAGCAGGGACACCAAGCCACTGCTGCCGGTCCTCTGGAGGTGCTGGATGCGCTGGTGGCCAGGTCCTGGGTGGCAGCTCCCCACCCCTGTGCAGCAGGTGAGAGACGGGGCGGTGCCTGTGGCTCAGAGCGAGGTGGCACGGTGACTGCGGGGATGGTGACCTGCCTGGTAGCCTGTCCCTCGGCCTTGTCTCCTGTCATACAGATGGGGTGGACACTGCAGGGAGACGGCCCAATGCCTGCTCCTCCTGAGACGCACCTGGCCAGGGCTGGCCACTGTGAGATGGGCTCAGCCACGGCAGTGACCCCCGGGATCAGCCTTCAGGGCTCCTGGCACGCCCTATCCCCGGGTGGGGAGCAGAGGCCTACCCCAAGGCCCCCCACAGCAGTTCACGGGGAAGCCTGGATGCCGGCCACAAGGCAGGCTGGGCCGGGTGGGCCCTTTGGCCTCCTGGCAGGGCAGGGGCTGTTTCTGCCAGCCCCCACCCGTCCTGACAGCCACGGGTCATCCTGGCTGAATGGTGAGTCAGTGGGCAGGCACAGCGGCAGCTGGCATAGGCTGGGGTGTCAAAGACTGCTCACTGCTCACCTGCAACGCACTCATGTGCCAGACAGCCACCCCACTGGCCTGCTGTCCACCCACGCCCGTCCACTGGCCTGCCCCCCGCACATACTGGCCTGCAGTCCACCCACACCCACCCACTGGCCTGACCACCGGTCTGCTGTTCACTCACACCCATCCACTGGCCTGCCCCTCAGCCTGCTGTCCACCCACACCCGTCCACTGGCCTGCCGTCCACCCCCATGAGTGTCTCTTTCGCACGTGGCCCTGAGTCGGCAGCAGTGGCAGCTGCAGCTGGCCAAGGGAAGGGACCTGTCTCACATAGCAGGTCAGTGTCGGAGCCAGGACTTTCGGCTCTGAACTTGGTCCCCTTTGGGCACTCACCCCAGTGTCCAGTGTATGGGGAGCCACCCTGCCTGCACTCTGCCCAGCCCTGGGGGCCAGCGGGGAAGGGCCACTGTTCCTCATCGGTCAGTGATGAACGAGCGCCTGCTCCCCCTTCCTCTCCGAGGGGGGACAGAGGCCAGGCGGCTGGCAGGAGGATCCGGGGCAGGAAGCCTCCTCAGGGAGGCCCACGGCCCTGCTCGGTAAGTCAGCGTCCGCAGAGGGATCTGGACGGTAAGGGGAGATGGAGAGGCGTATATCTTTGAGAAATCAATCATCGTGTACGGTGTGTCTGGACACTGGCGCCAAGGCGAAGATAGCGCCTGCCGGGGAGATAAGGGTTAATCAAGGGCTTAATTCTGCAGGAGATAGAGGAGGTGCACCACTGGGCCTCCTCCTGGGCTGCTCCAGCGGCCAAGGCTGCTCTGGCCAGTCCCCTCAGGCAGAAATCCCGCCGGCGAGCCTCTGTCAGGCTCCCCGAGCTGTGCTACGTGCCAGCCCCAAGGGGCACAGAACTCCCGGCAGAGGGAGGGGGCCTGCGTTGGCCCGTCGGCCTTGCCGTGGGAGCCTGTGCGGGTCTCTGACGGTAGGAAGATGTGGGTTCCAGTTCCCCGGGAACTCGATCCTGGTGTTCTGGGCAAGTTACTCAGCCTCTGGGAGGCTCAGTTTCTTTCTTTCTTTTTTTCTTTCAGAGAGATTTTTGCTATAGGGTGCGTGCGCTCGATGGAGAGACAGAGACGGAAAGCAAGAAATCACTGCCTGGGGGTGTCCACACCACGATTTCTTCTCGTGGGACTTGGGCGTACACACACACGCCTGGCATGAGTTAAGCCACCAGGTCCTGGGACTTGAACCATCTTGAACTACGTAGGAATCCAGCGACGTAACCATTATGCCATCTGCTGGTCCCGAGCCTCAGTTTTCTAATCTGCAAAATGGAGTGGAAGCCCTACCTCACAGGGCCTGGGGTGGGGGAAGGATGCGGGCCACGCGAGTGCATGGGCATGTGGGGCCCGGGACACGCACCATCTTGGATGGCCCTAGCATTCTGCCTTTGCTGCCAGCCTTGTACTACATCCGGGTCTTCCCGCCTGGATGGCCACAGAGCTCCCTGCCCACTCGCATCCCTGGACGCACGCACTCCTGCCTCCCTGCAGAGCCAGCTGCGGCCTCACCCCTGTAAAGCTGGCAGTCAGCACAACTTCCTCCCATGGGGAGCCCGACCACCAGCCTGGAGCTCCCTTCTGCTGTGGCCCTTCCACCGCCCGTAGGGGCCACGGCAGAAGGGAGCTCCAGCTTGGCTACAGGGCTTGCCCAGCGGGCCATGTTTGGCATGGGCATCCTTGTGGTCACCTCGTGTCCACCCAGCCCCTTGGCAGGCAGGGATGCCGGTGGCCTCCCCACGCCATGGACAAGCTTGTAGCCCTGCCCACCTCTCTAAAGCAAGGCTGGGGCTGTAGGCTCTGGCCTAGAGGACATTTCGGGGCCCAAGTCCTGCAGCTGGGAAAGCAGAGCCCAGAGGTGGGGCCTGCATAGCCTAAAGGCGGGAGACCCCCGGAGCCGGGCTTGCACAGAGGCCTACAGGGAGGAAGGCTATGGAGGCTGTGGCCCACGGTGCCCATCCGGCCATCAGGACAGACGTGGGGCAGCTCTCACCCTCTGCTGTGGGCATCTCGAGTGCCTGGAACAGCACCCACGCCCCAGCCCCAGCGCCTGACCCCGCACTGCCAGGCCCACCCCAGGGCTTGGCTCCTCACTGCTTCCTGTCCTGACACCTCCCTTCTCAGCCCAACCCCTACTCATCCACAAGGTCCTGATTAAAGAATCCCTCCTCCACAGGCCCTCTCCAAAGCCCCCGAGGCTTTCTGTCACCTCCTCCATGAGGCCCCCCTGAGGCATCAGGCCCTCATTCCCCCCACTCTGACCCCTGCGGCCCAGCGTGTCCCCAGCAGGCCCTGTGTGGGGTAGCCCTGGCCCCTGGGCTGGGTCTATTGCAGGCCAGGCTCCTGGGGACTAGTAAGGCCTACAGTCTGGCTGGGCACTGCCGACATCCTTACCGGTTCTTCCTGCCCAGGGGGACAGGCTGTGGTCTGGATGGTCCCGGGGAACGGGCCCCAGGATGTGCCCTCGGAGAGGCTGAGCCGGGCCCGCACACGCTTCTGTCCCTCCTGCAGCACCAGCTCCAGCTCGTCTGTGGAGAGAGACGCGGTGAGGTGTGCTGGCCCTCCTGCGGGGCAGAGCGGCCCACGTGGCAGGGTGGTGGCAGCGGCCCGGGGCCAAGGACTTTCAGAGCACGGGGATAGCTGGGATGTGTGAGGAGGCCGTGGGGTCATGTCTGAGTGGCGGCTGTGGGCCCTGTCTGCTCTGCAGAACCTGCCTTCCGTGAGATCAGCGTGGCCACATGCGTGGGCTGAGTAGACGCCCTATCCCTGCGAAGGTGGCCTCATCTGGAAGGGTCTCGCAAACATTATTGAGGCCAGCCTGGACATCCTGGGTGGGGGGCCCTAAACCCAATGACAAGTGTCTTCCCGGGAGACGCAGGGAGGGCCCTGGGGCAGGCCCCGTGGAGACTGATCGGACTAAAGGAGCTGCTGGAAGCCAGAGGGACAGGAAGCCGCCGCCCTGCTGCCCTCCACCTGGTTCCCTGGTCTCCGGGGCCTGCCCGGTGTAGATGCCCGCTGCTCTACGGCTCCGGTCACGCAGGCTGGTCATGGCAACCACAGGACGCACACGCTGGGCCCATTCCCTGCCATCCTCCTGGCTGGACAGCGGGACGACGGTGGATGCCCTCTCGGAGGTGGTCCTCCCAGCTCTGGCCTCCAGCTGCCAGGGTACCCGTACACACAGGCCTGGCCTGCCCGCCCGTGCAGCCCCATGGCAGGCTGTGGCCTTAATGGGCCGGGTGATCAGACAGTGCCCCTAATGGCGGAGATAAAGCAAGTGCCGGGGCCTGCTGAGGCTCTCACTGGGGCTTTGTCTTCCCGGGCAGGAGGCCCTGGCCCCTGTCACCCAGAAGGGTTCTCTGCTCAGGGCCTGCCCACTGCGCGTGGTCCCATCTTGGGCACAAGGGCAGAGCAAGCACCTCCTGGCCCTGGGGACACACAGCCACAAGACCCTGTGAAGTGTCCCTGGAACATGAAACCGAGGCCCGGAGGCCACAGGCCAGCAGAAGGTGCCAGGATCCCCCCATGCCGAGCTCCAGAGCTCCCAGTCGTGTCTCCGGTCCCACCTGGCCGGAACTCAGTGGGTGTAGAAGAGGCTCTGGGTGCTTGTCTGTCCTGGGCTCCGCCTCTGCGGTCTCATGGAGCCCACCCTGACGGCGCCTGGGTCACCTCTCCCGTCTGTCCCTAGGTCAGTCCCACTCTGACGCCGAGATGCTCCTGGGACCACATGGCGGGCTGGGTGGGGTGGGGAGAACGCCTGGGCTTGTGAGACATGACCTACTCCCACTGCCCGGGCAGGGTCAGCTGCAGCCCTGGGAGCTCCTGCTGTTGCCAGACATGCGGCGCCCCCTGCTGGCGGGAGGTGGGACTGCAGCGTGGGTCCCACTGGGGCTGAGACTGGGGGTGGAGGCAGGGAGCCTGAGCCAGCAGCCCCACTCTGGGGAGCGAAGGCCACTCCCTGGTCCCGCGAGCTCCCTTCTGAGAAGCTCTGGGGCTCCGGGGCTGGCAGACCCCCCATGCTTGGCCTCAGTTTCCCTGCGGAGCAGCCGCCCCACAGGTTGACTTGCAGCTTGGACTCAAGGCAGATGAAGGGGATGGTTGTGGCACCTGTCGGTCCCCATAGGGTCCAGGCACCTGCGCCAGTGTCTGGTGGCCTCTCGGCACAAAGTCCAGCTGGCTCACGGCCCCCACCCTCCACAGGGGGCGCTGTGGCCTCATGAGGGCCACTGCAAACCCACTTATCTAATCCCCATCATCCGCCTGGCCCTGCCCTGCCCCTGCCCCTGCCCCGGGGCTCCCCAGCCCTGCTGCCGGCTTTGTGGGGAGTGGCCCTATCTCTGCCCCTATCTCGGGGATCATGCTGTTTGCTTTTGATAAACTCAAGAAAAGGAAAGAAAAAGGAGGGAACCGGGAGGGGGGCTTGGGGGGCAGGGCTGGGGCGCAGAACATCTGTTCCCACGCCTCCTGCATTAGCGTGGAAACCAGGCCCAGAGAGGGCTGGCAGTCCCCCCAGGGTCACAGGGCAGGCCAGAGGCCGGGCTGGGCAGGCGGCTGCCCCTGTCCACCCACCCCCCCGTGGCCAAGGGCGGAGCAAAGTGTGGGTGGGCTGCCACATGCAGGCATGTCGTCTTCTCAGCACACATGCTCTGACAGTCCTGGGGGGCAGGTCGGGGTGTCTGCACCCTTGTTTTTATGGTTTTGCTATAGGGCGCGCGCTCACCAGAGACTGACAGCAAGTGAGCAATCGCCCGGGGCACAGCCACACCCAGGGTCCTTCTCCACGCTCCTCAGGGTGTTGGGCACACACACGTCACCCATGTTTGCTAAGCCGCCGGCTCCAGGACGCAAACCGCAGCTGGCCGGGTGGGATCCAGTGCCTTAAAGCACCATGCCCCTGCTGGCCCCAAGTCTGTGCCCACTTTACAGACAACAGTGACTTGCCCAGGGTCACCGGCTCTGAGGCTCAGCCCTTTTCCCGGTCCTGACTGGGAAAGTGGTGCCCTGGGACAGAGAGCCCAGGGGCAGGCCGAGGGCCCTCACCTTGCCCCTGGGGCAGCACCACTTAGCTTCAGCAGGTGCCCTTGGCCCCACCCTTCTGCAGCAGAGCTGCCTGGGGTGAGTGTGGGCTGACTCCTACTAGCCCTGCCTGGGGACACGGTGTGGACGCAGGAGCCTCGGTCTGTGTCCTGCACTGTCTCCGCTGGCTGTGGTGTGGGGGCCCAGCACCCACCTCACAGGTCACTTGAAGCGAGGTGACACAACAGACGAGATGTGTGCAGGACCAGCCCGGCTCAGCCCCCGGCGTGCAGCCCCGGGTCTCGGCTCCACGGCAAACAGGACGGCATCCATGCCTGTCCCTCCGCAGTGCTGGGCTCCCTAACACGGGGCCGGGCCCGGTGCTGGCACAGGGGTGGCGGGCCCCCGGTCAGTGGATGCCCTGCGGGGGCCACGCAGGCACCTGGGCCCCGTCGTGTCCTCGGGCGAGATGAGACCTGATGGCCAGGCTGACCGTGGGCCCCACTCTGTGGCCGAGGGCCTCCTGGTGGAGGGGGCCATCCTGCGGGATGCTGCGGCCCCGCACCTGCCCGACAAACTGCTTGGAGAAACGGCGGGCTCAGGGCCGGGCGCTGAATGGGCCTCCCTGCCTCGCCTTCCCAGCACCTGTGCGGACGGCAGTGGACGCCCGGAGACGGGGCTAGGACGCACTCCCCACTGCGGAGCACCCAGCGGCACTCCCCTTGAGGGCATCCAGTGCCTGGGGGAGCCATGAGGTCAAAGGGCACTGTGGCCGCTGGCCACAGTGCAGGGCCTCGCTGCAGCCGCGAGGGCACAGGCCACCTCTGGGCTGCCCCGCTGACTAGCCTGGCACTCCCAGCAGCCAGGGGCCTGGGGCCTAGACATCGGAGTCACAGGGCACCACCAGCCAGCATGGCCCCGAATTAAGCCTCGTCTGAACACTGCATGGAAAACCCAGGGCATGTGCCTGATTCCAGCCCCGGTTCTGCCGCTGGGAGCCACAGCTCGTCCGGACAGACCTCGCCTGCCTAAGGCTCCCGCGGGACCTACAGGGATGGGTAGTGCTGGGGACCTGGCTAGAAGGGGGCTGTGGGGAAGGACAGTGGGCCCTTGTGCCTGTTTGGGGCCAGTCAGCCAGTGTGATGGAGGGTCTGGGCTGGGCCCCTCTGACCCCGATGCAGGCCACGTCCAACAGCAAGCATGGCTGGGAGCCGCTGTGTGAGGAGGGGCCCTGTGAGGCCGGCAGGCTGTCCTCACACGCAACGGCTGGGGGCCACTGAGGCATGGACATACTGTCTGGACACAGATGCCAGGTCCAGCAGCCCCACTGGCACCTAGAGGCCGAAGAGAGGTCTCCACCCTGCTGATGCCTGGGTTCCCCCTGGGACCCTTGGGGGCCCAGATCCCTGTAGGCGGGAGGGCCGGCGGCTGAGAGCAGGGTGGAGACACCGGGGCTGCCAGCAGAGGGCCAGTGAGGGCCACTGTCCCAGCCCATGGCAGATACGCCCGGGCTAGCCCTGGCCGAGCCCCACCCAGCCCTGGGCTCCTCTGTGCTCCTAGTGTCCCACCACCCCATCCAGGGTCCTCCTTCCTGGGTGCCCCCACCCGAAGACCCAGGCCCCTCTCCAGCCTCTCTGCCACTGGCTGGGGGTAGAGTTTTCCTTCTGCCCAGGTCAGAGGCTCCCGGGGCTCCCAGCCTAGGACCTGCCTCCCTGGAAGTGTCCCTCGGCCACACGCCGCCACATCCGTCCTGTACTCTCCCCACGCCTGGACTGTGCCCCGAGGGCCCCAGGGTTACCTCCTTGTGGGGTCTTACTGCCTGTGTGGTTGGACCAGCACAGTGCCCGGGGTGGGGCCGTAGCCGCCTATGGCTGGGGGGGGGGGGGGGCCCGCTTGGGCCCCCCCGCCCCCGCCTATGGCAGGGCCTGGGAACAGAACTGGGAACGCGGCCTTCGTGTGCCAGTGGGAGGCTCCCTTCCACCATCCATGTTTCGAGGGACAGGGGCAGCCCACCCTGCTCCTCCCTGCCTGTCCCACCCCCAGGCCTGAGAGACCCAGAACCTCCCGGGGCCCTCACTGATAGGCTCAGCCTGCCCACCCTGGTGACCCTGGGGACACGGCTGCTGTGGCACTCCTGGCAGAGCAGCAGGGGCAGGACGCGGCGGGAGGGCTCCCAGGTGCTGGCTCCGGCCCTGCCCGCCAGCTGCTGCCTGGGAACTTGGCGCCCTATCGCTCAGCGCGTCGCTGGGGTTATTGATTTCCTGACATACAACAGCAGCCCGTCTTTATCGGCTGAACCCTGGCCCCAGCTGATGGAGCTCCGACGGCCTGGGAACAGCCAGGGACAGGGTGGAGCCCAGTGTCCCTCCTGGGGCCTGGGGCTCCCGGCCCATCCTGGGAGGGGCTGTCTGGGCCGCAGCCTCTGGCCCTGGACTGCCCCTCGGAGGCCTGGCGGGCAGCTCGGAGTCAGGTCTCAGATGACCTGGGCGGGCAGCTGCTTGGATGGGCCTGT